ACATAACATGCATGCATACATACATACATACATACATACACACATACCTACATCCCTACATACCTACCTACCTACATACATACATACATACATACATACATACATACGTACATACATACATACATACATACATACATACATGCATACATAGCTAGACACGTACGTACATACGTGCATACATACATACATACATGCATGCATGCATGCATGCATGCATGCATGCATGCATGCTTGAATGTGTGCGTGCACAGCTTTGAGCTCCTGATCTCAAGAAGATGTATATATGTAGATAATTCCCTTGTTCCCCAGGTTCAGATCACTGCGCCAACTCCGGGTGATGGGCATACGGCCCAGACCGGTATTGTGGCTTGAGGGGTGCTGTAAGCTTGTGGTTCCCTGTGTAGGGCTGCTGAAGTGTTCGGAGGGTTTTGCAGCATCTCTATGCTTCTACTTCTAGCAGCAGTTGTTGCTAGTGCCACTGCTACTCCTCCTCCTTCTCCGGCTACTGCTCCCTAAATGCTATGCCTGAACCCTCATGTTTGCCCGAGGGCCACATTGCCGACGCTGGCGCCGTCAACCGGGGCCTCGTCTCGCACTGAGCATCAAGGGTTTAAGGTTTACAAGTAGCTGTGTAATATAGAGGCTTGAATCATACCACTATTATTCCTTAGGGTTCCTTGTTAGTAGAAGTATATTATAAAGGAGCCCAGAACCCTGTTCTAATTATTAAGGCCCTTACAGTCCCGTCAGAGAGAGCGTAAACCGCCCCACACCCTACTGCCTAGGCTCCCTTCCCGCAGTTGTGCCAGAGTCGTACCAACACCCACAAGCATTGGTCTACCCTAAACCCGAAACCCCAAGCCCTAAACCCGAAACCCTAAACCCTAAACCGCCTCGAAAAAAAAACTGACCTTCAGCAACAGACCTGAACCCTAAACCCTTAAACCCTAAACCCCGAAACCCTAAATCCTAAACCCCTAAACCCCAGACCCTAAACCCCTAAACCCTAAACCCTCAGGCCGCTATAACTACCCCAGAAGAACTAAATTTCATTTTGAGTGCATCGCCCGAAAGCCATAAATCCTCCAAAATCCTCTAATTACGAATCAAGGAAGAAAATCTGCAATAATAGGGGCGCCTTGACAAGTAGACGATGCTTCTGCTTGTGTTGTACTTTAACTATGTTGAAGGAGACCTGTTCTGGGTTGATTGTACATAACCAGTGGGTGGTTGTCAAAATATTATGGTCCCTTTTTGGGTCCTATTATCATACGGCACCTATTATTTTAGGGTACCCCAAAAGGGACCATAATTTTGACAACTCCCCCCCATAACTAAACTACTAATTTCTCTAAGGAGCCTTTCGGACTACGAAGCTGCCGCAGTGAGCTCAACTAAAGGCATCTATAAGCGTTCCTTGACAGGGATCACCACTAAACCCTCGGTTCGATCACGGATTTATAGGGCTCTAGGGTTGTTGGGCTTAGGGCCTGGGCCAAAAAGTTTCTAGGGCTCCTTACCATGTTTTCCTTGTATCAGTCCGTAGAAAGGGTTTAGGGTTTAGGGTTTAGGGGGTAGCCACTTAAACCCTGAAATCATAACCCAGCCCCAAGCCCTAAGCCGCTATAGAAAACTCCCAGTGAATCCATAGCAATCATGGAAAATCCTTCTGAAACTTTCAAGCTTCTCGATGAAACCCACGCTATGATCTCCACTAGACCTGAAGCCCCAAACCCCAAACCCTCAACACCTACTTGGAGGAACATGTGATGTAGTAAGCACGGTTGTAAGTACCTTACTTAAAGGATCATGGGACTTAGTAAGTAGGGTTATAACTAAGGTAACTATACTTATAGCCCCCCAATCCCATGATCCTCCAAGTAATTGGGGTTAGAAGAAGTTGTAAGTATGGTGACCTGACCTAGAACCCTAGTCGCTAAGTCCCATGATCGTTTAAGTAAACCCTAAACGCTAAACCCCCTAAACCCTAAACCCCAGCACCTCTCAACCCGAGGCTTGTGTCCTCCGCCTTGCGAGTCCTTCGACAGCTCATGGCTTTAGTCTTGGGCCCTGCGGGCTTTGCGCCGGGGACCTCGGAAAGCTCCGGTGTTCCCTTAAGGATTCCTATAAACCCTAAACCCTAAA